TCTCTCTCTCTCTCTCTCTCTCTCTCTCTCTCTCTCACACACACACACACACACACACACACAGTCACACACACACAGAAACAAGCTGACACAATGGCCGGGTGGGGCTGTGGAAAGGGCTTCCTCTGTGGAGATCGAAATCTGGGCCCTGGGTTCCCGCCCCAAGAACACAGGAACAGATGATTGGAGGCTGACTGCAGTCTGCATTCCTTGCTCCAAGGGGCAGGTAGGACAGGCTGAAAATAGAAACGGCTTCCAAAAAAGATAAAGGTAAGTTCATGGGGAGCCATTGCAGAGTCAGGGAGGAAGCAGACTTAGGGATCCCTTGATGTGAAATGCGGGCTGGCTCACAGCCAGGGGACAGGTCGGAAGCTAATGAGACAGGCGTAGTGCAAGTGGAGGGAGAGGTGGCCGGACAGGTCATGGAAGGACTCACACTGTCCCTTAGCTGAGGTAGAGGGATGGAAACGCCTGTGCCATCCTGCTGGCCCAGCCCCATGCCATCGCCATCCGTCCTACCCCATCTGCGCTGCTCCACCCAGGCAGCCCATGAACCCCTGTGAGCCCAGAGATGGTGATGGAATGTGTGCATACACAGCAGCCCTCTCTGGACCCGTTAGCCTCTGACACCCTGGATATCAGGTCCCTCTCATCTCCCAGGGCCCCAGTGTGCGCATGTGGAGTGTGGTGTGGTTGGGGAGGGGGGTGTCCGGTTGGGAAGAGGATCCGATTCCTGTTTCCTGCCCCTACTCACTCAGCTCTGGGAGGTGACTGAGAGTGGAGGGAACTTGAGGGTGAGTGCTTGGGGCCCCACTACCTGGGCCCTGCCAGAGCCTGAGTAGGGGTGGGGAAGGAAGTAAACGCAGGTACCTGAAGGGAGGGGGTAGCGGGATCCTTGGTGGGGGTAGGGTCTGGGGAGGAGCTGGGCAGCTGTTGAGGCCACTAAGTGGCTTCCTGCCAGAATGGGAGGCCACTGAGCTGCAAGTCGCAGTCTACGGCCCCTCCCCCACCGACATCGTCTTTCAAGAACCTACTCTGGGGTCTGGAGGGTTGTGACTTCTGCTGACTCCTGAAGGGAGTCCGGGGGCTCCCCTCATCCCGGCTCAGATCCTTGTTTTATCCAGACAGCAGCTTCCTTCCTCAGGAGAGGAAGAGAAGCCCAGGCCCTAGTGCCCTGATCCCTAGCCTGTGACCTGGTCTGGGGCCACCTCCCTAGGCATCCTGGCAGGACCCAGCCCTCCCCTGCAGCTTCTCTTTTTGTCCAGACCTGGGGCCAGGTGGGGTGGAAAGATGAGGGACAGAAGACCATGTGCCGTGGCCTCACAGTCTCTTGGGGTCAGAGGCTCCAGGAATCTCCATGGCAGGAAAAGGAGACTAAAAATAATCCGGAAAGGGAGAGTCCAGGGAGAGGAACTGGGAAATGGGGGGCGGGGGCTGGTGGGAGTAGGGAAAGAGTGATGCATCCCTCACAGGCCAAGCGTGGACATACATACACACTTGTGTACACACTTCGCGCTCTGCCCAGATGGCACAGAACACACACCCCCCCTTACACTCCTGTCCTTACTCTCACACCACACACTCCTTTACAGGCCACCACACACCGTCTATCTGCTCTCCCGCTGCACACCTACCCAGTCAGCACGTGGAGTGTACACTCACCACACACCATGCAACAGTCACTTGTACAGCACTAGCTACAGCACACACTTAACCCACACCAAACCTGCGCAACACACAAGGACTCACAGTTCTTAAGGTCTATACTGGCACCTATCCTGGCAATCTGGGTCCCTCCTCCTACATTTCACTGAGTCTCTGGTGCCTCTGCCTCCACTGACCCAGCGTCCCAGCCTTGTCTCTTCTTGGTTGACTGTGGTAGCAGAAGTCAAAAGATAGAGTGAAGCTGGGTGTGGTGGCACAAACCTGCAATCTCAGCTACTTGGGAGGCTGAGGCAGGAGAATCTGAATTTGCAGCTAGGCTGAGACTCATAGGGGAGCTTATCTCAAAATAAAAACAGCTGGGATGTAGTTCAGTGGTAGAGTACCCTTGGGTTCCAGCAACCCTGGGTTCCATCTTTAGCACCACAACACACACACACACACACACACACACACACACACGAGTGAAGGGTAGGGGGGCCAAGCAGGTCCAGGGGCCCAATGAGAAGGAGAGATGAGAGGCGAGAGGTGAGGAGAGGGACAGCGCAAATGACATGGAAGGTGAGGATGACACCAACCTTCCCTCCTCACCCCGAAGCCACGCATTCAGATGTCCTTGGTGTACCCACCAGGGACGCTAAGGGGCTCTTTCTCCCTCCACCCTTCTCAGGGGATGACTCCAGCAGAACACCCCACCTCTTTGAAGAGCTCAGAGGAAGATGTCAGCCCAGTCCCTTCCTGCAGCAACACCCCCCACCCAGAAACCCTCTCGGATCATCCGCCCTCGGCCCCCTTCCCGCCCACGGGCTCCCCACTCCCCAGGGCCTCCTCACCATGGCTCTTCTCCACAGGCACTTCCCCAAACTTCCAGTGATGCATCAGCTCCAATGTGCACCCCCATTTTCTGGGAGCCCCCAGCCACATCCCTCAAGCCCCCTGCCCTTTTGCCTCTATCGGCTTCTAGAACCAGCCTCGACTCCCAGCCTTCCCCAGACTCATGTTCCAGCACCCCCAGTCCAGTGTCCAGGCGCTCTGGCTCCCCAGAACTGGCTGTCTGTTCTCCAGTTCCCCCACCCAAGCCCTCTGGGTCACCTCGCACACCTCTGCCCCTGCTCCCCATGGCTGGGGGCCTGAAGCAGGATGGTCTGGCCTCGGCCCCTGGCACTGTGCGGAGACTGGCAGGCAGGTTTGAATGGGGGGCTGAAGACAGGACCCAGGCTGCAGACTCTCTGGAGTGGGGTCCCCAAGGGGGAGCGGATGTGAATGGGGAGAGAAAGGATGCTGCTGGGAACCGGTCCCAGGAGAATGGTGCTCTGGGTAAGCACGTGGTGGGGGTGGGGTAGCCTCAATCAGCTCATCTTTGTTTTCAGTGCTTGCAGAATGGGAACTTTCAGGGGCTAGTTTTTCAAACATGAACTTTGTGTTTAGAAAACCCACCAGGGATTTAGCTCAGTGGCACCATGTCTGCCTTGCAAGTGCAAGGTCCTGAGTTTGATCTCCAGTACCACAAAGAAAAGAAAAGAAAAGAAAGAAAACACAATTTCTGTATTTCTTGGGGTTTGCAAACAGTTAGGGCAAAAGGGAAAGGTGGAGGCCTGGCAGGGTGGGCCTGGCCAAGGGCTTTCTCCTTAGGATGCCCTGTCTGCCACAGATGCTATCCTGGCCTGCCCTCCTTGCTGCCCTTGTGTCTGCCACATAACCCGGCCTGGGCTGGAGCTCCGATGGGTGCCTGTGGGGGGCCCTGAGGGTGGCCTCAGAGCCCCCTGCAGGGCCTCTCCACTGCGCACCTCCCGCTCCCGCCCTAACCCTCCGAGCATCAGTCGCCCTGCAGTCGTCCTCACGTCCTATCGTTCCACCGCTGAGCGAAAACTTCTGCCACCCCTTAAACCTCCCAAGCCAACTCGGGTCAGACAGGATGCCACTGTCTCTGGGGACCCCCCCCAGCCAGATCTTGATTTGCCTTCTGAAGATGGAATCCAAACAGGTACAGGGCCCGTGTGTGTGTGTGTGTGTGTGTGTGTGTGTGTTGGGGGACCTCTGGGCTTTGAACGGATAAGGTAGAGGTGGAGTGGCCTAAAATCCAATGAACTACAATCCCAATGGGCCCGGGGATATTTGTTCCTCTACTAGCTGCTGCTCTGGGGCTGACGGGAGTTGTAGTTTTTATAGCAACAGTTGCTGCTGAGGCCGGGGTAAGGAGTATTGGGCTGGGGGTCCTGGAGGTTTATTTTTTTCACTCTGGGTTCTCTTTCCAGGGGACAGCCCTGATGATGCTCCTCTGAACCAGAACCCCTTCCCTGCAGCCATGGAGGGAAGGTACAAAACACCCCACCATGCTCCCACCTTAGGAAAGGCTAACCTTCAGGTCCAAGTAACTTCTACCTCCACAGGGGTAGAGGAAAGAAGGGCTGGGGCTCCCGAGACTAGCAGCTGACATTTCCCATCCTACCTTTGCCCCTTATTAGTTATTGACCTTATGCAAATCCTCAGCCTTTCTGGGTCTCAGCATCCTCATGTAGGAAATGGGGATTAATATACCAACGACTCCATGGGATGGGAGAGATGATGTTGCTAAAGACCTGGGCCTGTACTTTCCTTGAACCTCTATTGCAATTACTGTCTCCAAATTCATTTGGTGACCATAACCATCTCTTCTATATTGTCTGGGCTTGTTAATCATCTCAGATTCACCATCATCATCAGAGATAATCTGGACCCATGCATTCATTCAGAAAACATTTACTAGCGTGGTTTTTATTAGTAATATTTTTATAATGCTGGAGACTGAACCTAGGGCCTCACGAATGCTAGGCAAATGCTCTACCGCTGAGTTAAAACCCCAGGCCCCACTAGCATTTTTTTTTTTTTAGCTTGAATGGGTGTGTGGGAGTGCAGGTGACTAGAACAGGGGAGATGAGAGCCATAGGTGGTGGTGGGCAGGTGTAGGAGTTTGGGTTTGACTGTGTGGAGTTTCATGGAGGCACAAAAAGGGCCTTTCTGACAATGGTTGCAGTGTGAGAAGGCTGGAGGCAGAGACTTGGGAGTCCCTGCTACACAGTACTGAGATAATAGAAATGGATGGGGGGCCAGGGACTTAGCTCAGTGGTGCTGCCACCTGCCTCACCAGTGCAAGGTCCTGAGTTCGATCCCTGGTACAAAAAAAAAAAAAAAGAAAGAAAACAATGGGGCCCAGTTCCCCTCCAAGGGGCACATAAGAAAGTCTGGAGTTTGTTCTGGGGGACCATCAGGGCCCCTGCCTATGTGGACAAGTCGGTTGTACATCCCTTCCAGTATCCTGCAAGTAGCACCCATGGAGTGGACCACTGCAGTGGCCCTGGGAATGCCTATTTCTCTCTCTCCACAGGAATGAGGAGGGGCTGGAGGGGCTGAAGGAGCAGAACTGGGAGCTGCCCCTGCAGGACGGTGAGATTCTTTGGACCTGGGATTGCTGCTGTGACCTTCAAGCAATGGAAAAGGGTTTGGGACTCCAGACTTCCCTGATGTGCTTTGCCTGCCTTCTAGAACCTTTATACCAGACCTACCGAGCAGCCGTGCTGTCAGAGGAGCTGTGGGGGGTTAGTGAGGACGGGGGCCCCTCTCCAGCAAATCCTGGGGAAGCTCCTGCCTTCACGCGACCTCCTGGGCCTCGAAACACCCTGTGGCAGGAGCTTCCAGCTGTGCGAGTCAGCGGCCTCCTGGAGACCCTCAGCCCCCAGGAGAGGCGCATGCAAGAGGTGGGCACACTGGGGCGGGTCTGAGTGGGATGCATGGGAGAGGCACATGACCCAGATCCTAGGCTGGCCAAGAGTAGGACTGTCCACTACTGCCCTGGCCTTCATCCTAGAGCCTGTTCGAGGTGGTGACGTCTGAGGCCTCCTACCTGCGCTCCCTGAGGCTGCTCACTGACACTTTCGTGCTGAGCCAGGCACTCCGGGACACGCTTACCCCGAGGGATCACCACACACTCTTCTCCAATGTGCAGCGAGTCCAGGGAGTCAGTGAGCGGTCAGTGGGATCCTGTCTTCCCAAGAATCCTGGCTTTGGCCTGCTCAGCACACCCTTAGCTTTCTCCAGATTCTTCTTTTCATAGACCCTGCTATTCCCAGCTCTTCCCTCAGAAACCTGGAAGACTTGATCCTCTGTCCCCTCCATTGCTGCCTCCCCTACTCCTTCAGGTTTCTAGGAACGTTACTGTCCCGGGTGCGTTCTTCTCCTCACATCAGTGACCTGTGCGATGTGGTGCATGTGCATGCGGTGGGGCCTTTCTCCGTGTACGTGGATTATGTGCGGAACCAGCAGTATCAGGAGGAGACCTACAGCCGCCTTATGTGAGTGTGGTTGTCCTCCCTTCTCCATGGGGCATGTGTTCCAAGACCTCCAGTAGATGCCTGAAACTGTGGATCACAGGGAACTCTATATACTATGTTTTTCATATACATAAATATATATGATAAAGCTTTTTATAAGTAAGACACAATGGGAGATTAACAACAGTTGCTAATAATAAAATAGAAAAATTATAGCAATATATGCTAATAAAATCACTTATTATAGCAATATATGCTGATAAAATTATAGCAATATATGCTGATAAAATCACTATTCTTTCACTATGGGGCTATTCTTAAGGAAAATAAGGGCTACCTGGACACAAGCATTGTGATGCCAGCAGTCAGTCTGATAACTGGATTTAAGGTGGAGGAGCAGTATATACAGTGTGGATATGCTGAACAAAGAGGTGATTCATATCCCATGTGGAATGGCTTGAGATTTCATTATGCTACTCAGAAAAGTGTGCAATTTAAAACATAAATTATAAATTGTTTATGTCTAGATTTTCCACTTAATATTTTTGGACTAAGGTTAACTTCAGGTAACTGGAATTGTGGAAAGCAAAACCAAGGATGAGGGACGTGCTACTATTTCTCAGAGGTGTGGGAAGAAGCTGGGGAACAGAGTTGGGGTCGAGGGCAGAGCTGGCTAAAGAATCAGGGCCTTGCTCAAGGTAGCCACTAGCCAGCTGGGCCTGCTTCTGCAGGGACACAAACATGCGTTTCTCCGCGGAGCTTCGGCGGCTGCAGAGCCTCCCCAAGTGTGAGCGGCTCCCGCTACCCTCCTTCCTGCTGCTGCCCTTCCAGCGTATCACCCGGCTCCGCATGCTGCTGCAGGTACCTTCCAGGCTTGGTCCTGTCCTGCCACACTGGACAGAATGGGTGCAGGGAAAGGGCTCTAGCTAGAGGCAGACATTCTAGACTTACCTCTGTTGAGCCTCTAACTATTTGATATCACCTGAAAAGGGGCAAAAATGGGTTATTTAGGGGATGAAAAACCTTAGCTCTTCCAACGGTTGTGGTTCTTTAAATGGCCATAGTACAAAAACAGATTTATAGTATACCTGTAGAATTAAAAATTCACAGTGGAGGGGTTGCTGAGGCTATAGCATTTACCTTGCATGCACCAGACCCTGTTTTGATTGCCAGCAATGTAACAAAACAAAACAAAATACAAAACAAAGCAAAAAATCATGGTGGGTAGAACACTCAGGGAAATCCTAAAAAGGTTCATTAGCAGGGTGATACTAGGAGAAAAGGGTAAGAAATATTCTTCTATTGCCAAGTAGAGACTCCTCCCTACCAGGTCATTCAATGTAGCAGTTTTAATGTGAGGAGTGCCCAGTTAGATGATCAGATTCTTTTTCTTTTATTTTTTTGTGGTGCTAGGGATCAAACCCAGGGCCTCAAGCATGCTAGGCAGGTATTCAATCACTGAGGTACAACCCTAGCCTGGCTTCTCTATGTCTTTTTTTTTGGTACCAGGGATTGAACTCGGGTCCTTTGGCTACACAGCAGGTGGCGAAACCACTGAGCTAGATCCCCAGCCCCTGGATTCTATGTCTTGTTCAGCTTTGTCTTTCCCCAGTCTGGACAACACAATAACAATAATCATAATATCAATCATAATAGCTCAATGACTATTGTTTGAAGTATAGATCCAAATGCTATATGTTTATTTAACTTCACCAACTGTGTGAGGCAGGAACTATTATTTATTCTACTTTATAGAAGAGAAAATTGAGCTACAGATTAAATAACTTGCTCCAGGTCATACAGAAATAATTGATGGAGACACAACTGAAATCTACGCACTATTAATTACTTTATATATAGTTTACACTAATAGTTGTAGTTAATAATTATTAAAATAATAGCAACCCATCTTTTCAGTATTTTGCCAAGCCCTTTTTATATTATATTTTTATTTATTTTTATTTTTTTTTGTTTTTGGTACCAGGGATCGAACTTGGGTCCTTGCGCTTGTGCAGCAGGCGGCGAAACCACTGAGCTAAATCCCCTGCCCTATATTATATTTTTATAATATAATTACCTCCTTATATCCTCAATATTCACACCCTCGGTCTTTTTGTGTGTGTGTGTGTACTGGGGATTGAACCTGATTGGGACCTTGCGCTGGCAAGGCACGTGGCAGAACCACTGAGCTAAATCCCCAGCCCTTTACCCTCGGTCTTATTCCCATTTTATATATGGGGAAATTGAGGCTAAGAGAGATAACATGACTTCCTCAGGGCTGTGCAGTTAGTGAGAATAATGAGAACTCTCGACCTTTTTTTTAAAAAAAAACAATGGCAAAGCTTCGCATTTATTAAAGGTAGGAAAAAACCAGAAGGGTAAGGGGAAAATGGGCTCTACAGAATCAATTTGGGTTGAGTAAAAAGGGAAGAACACCCCCCCACACACACACATTTGGCCCAGGGATTTAGCTCAGTGGTTTGGCTGCCTGCCTCGCTAGCTCAAGGACCCGAGTTTGATCCCTGGTACCAACCCCCCCAACCCAAAAAACAAGTAAGTCAGTTGTTTGGAAGACCAAAGGCAGGTTGCCCCCCCCCCCCCCAATCCCACACCCTACAGTGTAGGCTAGACTATGGTGAAGAGACACGATAGCCTCTCGGTCTTGTTGAGGCCACTGCTGCAGCCCTGTGATCCCAAACTGAGCATTTTACCAAGCCAGGCAGGGCCCTCTGAGCTGTGGCTCCTTTGAATCCAATGGTCCTGGTGCAGGAGTCCCAGTCATTTTTCCTCCTTTTCCTCAGAATATCCTGCGCCAGACCGAGGAGGGATCCAGTCGCCAGGAAAATGCCCAGAAGGCCCTGGGTGCTGTCAGTAAGGTGGGCAGGAGGAGGGCTGAGGCTGGGAGAAGTGACAAGGAGGGCTGGAAAGGAGCAGGAGGGGGGTGACTTGGTGCTCTTCACTCAGATCATTGAGCGTTGCAGCGCTGAGGTAGGGCGCATGAAGCAGACCGAAGAGCTGATTCGACTCACCCAAAGGCTGCGCTTCCACAAAGTCAAGGTTAGTCCCTGCCCCGTCTCCTCATCTCGCCTTTCCCTCCGGCACAGTGAAGCTGGAACTTTGCGGTTTCTTGCAGGCTCTGCCACTGGTCTCCTGGTCGAGGCGCCTGGAGTTGCAGGGGGAGCTGACCGAGTTAGGGTGCCGGAGGGGGGGCGTGCTCTTCACCTCGCGACCCCGCTTTACTCCCCTCTGCCTGCTGCTCTTTAGTGATCTCCTGCTCATCACTCAGCCCAAGAGGTGGGTTCTAAGGAGAGAGAGGGAGAGAGGCTTGGCTGGGTGGAGAGGAGGTGCCCAGCGAGATCCCTCTGAACACCCTCTTCCTTGGGCAGTGGGCAGCGGCTGCAGGTTCTGGACTATGCCCATCGCTCCCTGGTGCAGGCCCAGCAGGTTCCAGACCCATCTGGACCCCCTACCTTCCGCCTCTCCCTTCTCAGCAACCACCAGGGGCGCCCCACCCACCGGCTGCTCCAAGCTTCCTCCCTGTGAGTTGTGTCTCCAGAAAACATCTTTGGGGGGTGGGGGGGTGGGGGTATGTGTGTGGCCCTGGCAAGGTGCATGGCCAGCGCGCACACACACACACACACACACACACACACACCCCACCACCACCACCACCACCACTGGGCCTTGGGACTTTCTGCTATCCCCTGAGGCCGCCCACTTCCCCAATTCTTTCTCCTCATGGCCCCTGCCTCCCCCCAGGAGGATCTCCTGGGCCAGTTGTGAACCCTGTCTCTGTTCTCACCAGATCAGACATGCAGCGCTGGCTGGGAGCCTTCCCTACTCCAGGTCCCCTTCCCTGCTCCCCAGACACCATCTATGAGGACTGTGGTGAGTATCAAGCTCACGGGAGGAGGGAAGGAAAGCTGAGTCTTATTCGGAATATGGGGGAGAAGCGCTAAAGAATCTGGATCCCACGCTAATGTCACCTGTCCACTACCAGAGTGTTCCCAGGAACTGTACTCAGAGCCATCTACACCTGTCAAGGCTGAGGGACCAGGTGTGGAGTCCAGGGCTCCCACCAAGCATCTGCACAAGAATCCTGAAGGTGAGAGATTCTTTCATGTACTCACTCAATTGATATTTATTTATGTATTTTATTTGTTCTTTCAATTGATATTTATTAAACACTGTGAATCAAACACACAAAGCTTCCTGTCCTGCTGGAGCAAGTACTCTGTTTTGGTGCTGAGGCTCGAACCCAGGCCCTTGTGTGTGCTAGGTAAATGCTCTACCATGGAGCTGCATCCCCAGACCTGCAGCATGCCTTCTAATAGAAGAAGCAAACAATAAAGAATAAACATGATAAATAGATAAATAAAAGCATGTTGGGAGGTGGTGAGTGCAACAGGAAAAATAAATGTGGAGCAGAATAAGAAGGTTGGGAATTTTCAAGGTGCTGAGGTGGATCTTATAGAAAAGGCAGGATGGAAGTGAGTTGGATAGAGGCAAGCAATTTGGGCACGTGGTGTCTGGAGGAAGAATGTCCCTGTTGGAGGAACAAATGATGCAAAGCCCTTCGGTCTGTTGTGTGATAGAGGAACTGTAGGGAGGCCAGCATGGTTACAGGGAGCCAGACAAGAGGAGAACAGAAGGACATGAGGTCCAGAGGTAACAGGGACGAGATTTGTGGGTCCTTGCAAGTACCTAAAAGAACTCCAGGGGCCGGGGATTTAGCTCAGTGGTTCCAGCGCCTGCCTTGCAAGCGGAAAGTCCCAAGTTTGATCCCCGGTACCAAAGAAAAAAAAAAAAAAGAACTCCACTTCAGCCAGCACCTGTAATCCCAAGAACAGTGCCTCAGCCAGGCACCTATAATCCTAGTACTCTGAAAACCTGAGTCAAGAGGATTGCATATTTGAGCTCAGTTTAAGCAATTTAGTGACTTATCGTGAGAACCTGACTCAAAATAACAAAAGAGCTGGGGATGTTGCTCAGGGTGAGGGGTCTGGGTAAGACCCCAGTTTACAGTTTGTTGCAAACAAACAAACTCTGCTTCTTACTCTGAGTGAGATGAGCAGCCCAGCCACTGCTGGGCTCCACAGCAATGACTGGGCAGAGACCCTTTCAATGCTGATGCCCTATCTACCAATGCTCCAAGCATCTCAACTAATTCCCTTACCCACCACGACCCCCAAGACCTGAGACCCCTTTTTCTCTTCACCTGACCTCTGTCCTCACCCCTTGTCTTGCCCTGCCCTGTATCTTTCCCTAGGCTGGCTGAAGGGGCTTCCTGGAGCCTTTCCTGCTCAGTTGGTGTGTGAAGTCACAGGGGAACATGAACGGCGGAAGCACCTTCGTCGGCACCAGAGGCTTCTTGAGGCTATGGGGCCCTCTTCAGGCACCCCCGGTGACCCTTCACCCTAATGCAGGCTGAGGGTGGGGCCCAGGTTAGGACAATGGCAACTCGACACTGAGGGAACAGAAACCATCCATCCATCCGTTGGATTCACTGCCAGTGGAAACACTACCTCTAGTGGCAACCAATAGGGACTGAGCATAAAGACAGGGCAGCCAATGAAACAAGGCCTCTGAGCTCACAGCCATAAGAAAGAATGGGATGGCTTCAATGCTTGCCAGTGGAGACAGAGGCAAAGTAGAGACCAGCTGATTGGCACTGAACTGGCTGAATTCCTGGCAAGTGAGTATCCTTGCTACGTTCACAGCCAAGGAAGACAGTGCTGGTGCAATGCAGTTAAAACCAAACAAAACCGAACTATTGCCATACAGATAAAGTCCTACAGCCAACAAGGATGATGAGGGACCTATCCAGCCAAAGATGGTGATTTGGGCCCAAGAGACCTGCAGTCACTCTGCTTGGTTCTGCAACACCTACCAGTTCTGCCTTTGAGTCTGAGAAGTATTAGATTTATTCTTTGGATATCTCCTGTGCCCTCTCAAGCCATTTCCTCTTTTCCAAAGAATCCTGAGTGTGTGTGTCTTAGAGGATCTGTGTGTATGTGTGTCTGTAATATATCAGGGAAGGTGATTCTGCTGATCGGGGGGAGTGTGTGGCGGTACCTCCACCGCCTTGAATGAATGCTCCATTTCTTCTCTTATCTACATTTCTCTTGCTGTTCTAAGAAAGACATTAGATCTAAGTTCCAGAAGAGAGCATGCTGGGTATAGCTTGGCAGGGAGGCCAAGCTGAGGATGAAAGCCCTGGACTGTGGGTGTCTTGAAGCACAGGGTTCCATGACAGTTGGAGGGTTTATGTTATGGAGCAGTCAAGCAGCCTGGCAGAGGAGCCAGAGGGACAGAAGATGGCCAGTAGCTGGTGCTCAAGGCCCCTTAAATCTCTGTACAATTCTCCTGCCCCAAACTCTGGTCTCCATGATCCCAGCCTGCATATCCCCCTAACTTGAAGTATTCTCATTCAGCAGCCTCAGTCTTGGGCTGCAGAACACTCTGGATCCCAGGTTGGGTCGAAGGCACAGAAGCTGTGGATCACAGGCTGGCTGATGAGCCTCCCTCTTGGGCTTCTGGCCTCGACCCTGATCCTCTCACAGAAATAGGGCTGAACAGTGTGGAGAGCTGGAGTTGCTACCTGGCTCCAAGCAGAACATCTGCTTCCAGATGAGCAACTTCCCCCTGAAAATCCCAGAGAAGGTGAGGGCTGGAAACACCTGAACTGACAGGTGCTGGCAACTGGGGACCCAAGCCTGGGACATGGCCTTCCCTGTTCTGGGCCATCACCCTTCCCCTTCAATCTTGCTTGGCAACTTACTCAGGACAGAAACTGCCACGAAGATCATAGGAGGTACAAGGACTCTGGAGACTCTGAGGGAAGAGGGTGCTGGCAGTTGGCATGTCCACAACTTTGGAGATTCACCTAGCACAGTGCCTGGTATATGAAAACCCTCAATAAATGCTGATGGAGTTGTATTGAGGCTCTTCAGGACAGTGTGTGCTCAAAGGAGCAGTGGTTCACAAATACCACTTTATAATGGGAGATGGGGCTGCTCGGAAAGGTGTCAAGAGCGGGGATCAGCTCCACTGGGAACTGGAACATGGAGACCAGATGTAAGTTCTGTGTGCCAGCCCACAGCTCTGGTGGCAGTGATGGTGGCAGGGAGTTTGTAGCCTCTGTGGTAGTGAGGGGGTTCCTGCAGCCTGAGGACGAAGGCAGGGCAGGGCTAGCTACAGCTGGCCTCTTAGGGGACAAAGATGCAGTGGGAAGGATACAAGGAGCAGTAAGTCAGCCATAAAGGTCCCTTACTGTCAGGGCAAACATCTGTGTGTTTAATTTAATTCAATGTACACCTATTGGAAAACCTTCAGGCAGGCACTGTTACAAGATCCAAGCCTACAGACATGAAAAAAATAAGGTTCTTGCCCTCAGGGAGCCTAGGTTGAGCAGAAGGAGACAATTATCTATTCAGGAAATTAAAAAGATAAAATCAAGGCTGGGGATCTAGCTCAGTGGTTCCACCTCCTGCCAAGCTGAAGGACCTGAGTTCGATCTGGTACCAAAAACAAAAACAAAACAAAAAGATAAAATCAGATAGCAGTAAGTGGTATGAAGAAATATAAAGCCCAGTGTGGTGGTGCATTCCTTTTTTTTTTTTTTTTTGGACTGGGGATTGAACTCAGGTCCTTGCTACATTCCTGTAATTACAGTATTCTGGAGGCTGAGGCAGGAAGATCACAAGTAAGATCCTATCTCAAAAGTTAAAAAAAAATTTAAAAAGAGCTGGGGATGTGGCTCAGTGTAAATCTCCAGTACAAAAACAAAACACAGCAAGGGCCATGAGATAGAATGTTGTGTGTGTGAGAGGGGAGCTTTAGGGAAGACCCTGGAGGAGATGATATTTGAGCTGAGACTCAGATATTTAGAAGGAAGCAGCTGTGGGAAGACCTGGGGAAAGCGGTCATGAGGGGATTATAGGTCAAGAACAGAAGGTAGAGGTGGTGAGGGTAGAAGCAGTGCACACACTCCTTCAAGTTTCTGGGTGGGAACCCTTCCTCCCATTACCCTATCCCTCTTTGGCATAAGCAGAGACAAACTGAGATACTTAGAGACATACATCCAAGGGCACACACAAAGCTACACAGGTACCCTGCACAATTTCCTCCCAGCCCTTACTCCCTACTGGAAGTCTGCCACTAAGGAAGCCCTCAGGCTCCAATTTAGAGGTTCTGCTAGTGAGATAATGGGGTCCAGATAGGAGTTATTTCAGAGATGTAAAGCAGAGGAAGGGGACTGCCATTTTCTGGTTTTCCCGGGGTTGGTTTCTGTTAGTATCTTAGAGCTCCCTTTCCATTTTGGGGTGATCCAAAATGTGCAATCCTGGAGGGGTCTGGATTCTGCAGGCCTATTGCAGAGGGCTAAGGGGCCTGAAGCACAGCTCCATGGGAAAGGAACAGATATGGAGGAAGGAAGACCCTAGGCAGAAGAGAGTGGACGGAAATGGAAATGGGGATGAGGTAAGACAGAAGAGTGGGAATGATTTACAGGTGGCACGAGGTAACTTGGCTCATCCTGGATTTGCTTCCTTCCTTGTCTGCATGGCCTCCTACAGGGATCTACTTCTCTGCTATGGTCAGGTACAGCCTCCCTGGTGACGGCATCCTCTCCCTCCAGCCCACTCCTTGTGATCCCTTCCAGAGCTCTTCAGCGTGGTCCTCTCCTCCCTCCTTCCTCACAGGGCTCAACTCCCTCTTCAGCTACAGAGGTTAACTGTGGTTCTGGTTGCCCAGGTTGGCCAGGTCATCCAGACGCACCGTCCTGGAGCAGGGAGTACCTTCCTCTGACAGCTCCCCACAAGCCTGGTGGGCTCCGCAGACTGGCCCGGCTCGCTTCCCAGCACGCCCATTCCAGACTGCAGTCTCTGCACCCAATAGCAGCCTCGGGCCAGATCAAATCGAGCGGAATATCCGGGTAGACCAGGCATAGCCATATCCAAGCCATATCCGTATGGCTATATCCATAACCGCGCCCCTCTGGTAGACCCCGCCCCGACCTTGGCCCCGCCTCTCCACCTGCTAGGGAGCTTCAAGACCCAGAGCACCCGCGGGCCTGAGAGCTTGGCGGGCCGGGCTTCCTGCAGCAGGTTCCTCATGTGTTTGCGGATTCCCAATGCTCGCTCCTCTCGCGCAGGCCATCCTGAGGTGCAAGGGCTTGCGTTTTGCTGGTTGATAGGGCTCGGGTCGGCTTGGACGCGACTCAGTCACTTCTGCTCACAGCTCTCGCACATCAGATGAGAATTTGGCGTTTTACCCCGGCCCCTGCTGCAGCTCTGCCACCAGCTTTGAGCCAGGCCTGGGTACTTAAGCTCAGACTGCTCCGTATCATACCCCACAGGCTGACTCCTGGAGTTCCATCTCATTCCTTCTTGCCCCAGATTTTTATTTTCTTCTTTCCAATAGGCGGCTTCTCCTGGCCCTCTCATCCCCGCTTCCGAAGCCTTATCCGATCCAATGTCCCTTTAGAAATCTGAAGTTGCACTCTGAGCAATGGAGTTGGGGCTGGATCCAGCTTGTGTGTGGCCCATTAAAAAAAAAAAAAGAATATGAAAATTAGATACGAAAGTATTATTTAGAACAGCGAAAATAATAATGAAGTATTCGCTTAAAAATTAAGCCCAAAAATACAACAAACAAGTCGGTCATGGTGGCGCATGCCTGTAATTCCAGCACTCGGGAGGTTGAAGCAGGAAGACTGCCCTGAGTTCCAGGCCAGCCTGAGCTACATAGCAAGTTCAAGGCCAGCCTGCACTACATAGTGAGACCCTGTCTCAACAAAACAACAACCAAAAGCTGGGCGTGGTGGCGCACTCCTGTAATCCCAGCACTCAAGAGGCTGAGGCAGGAGGATCACTAAGAGTTGGGGGGCCAGCCTGGGCTACTTAGTGAGTTAAGGACAGCCTGAACTGCCTAGTGAGACCCTGTCAAAAAAAAAAAAAAACCATAGAAAGTTTTATATATATATATATATGTTTTGTTTTTTGAGACAGGGTCTCACTATGTAGTTCAAATTGGCCTTGAACTCACTATGTAGCCCAGGCTGGCCTCAAACTCATGGTGTTCCTCCTGCCTCAGCCTCTCGAATGCTGGTATTATAGATATTTGTCATCATGCTCAGATCTCAAAAGCCATCTTTTTTTTTTTTTTTCCCCTGCACCGGGGATCGAACTCTGGTTCTTCTGCTTTCGAGGCAGATGGTGGAACCATTGAGCTAAATCCCCTGCCCCAAAAGCCATCTTTTATGTGAGGATTCATAAAGCTTTTAGTTTCCACACAGACATACTTGCCATTTATAGTCCTGCTTCAGATTTGTACCCCACTAACATAGGAATTCTGATGCTTACTAATTTATATTTTAACATAAAAAAGAACACAGGCATATCATGTTTTTAGCTATAGATAATAAATTGTGAATAATACTGGGAGGAGAAAATACCAGTTTTGATGTAAACTAGAGCCTCTGGTTCTTGTTTCCAATTTTTTACATCCAATGTCTCTTTCTCTCTCTCTCTCTCTCTCTCTCTCTCTGTCTCCTGGGGATTGAACCCAGGGCCTTCACACTGACTTACATCTCCAGTCTTTAAAATTTTTTTTTTTTACATTTTGAAGTAAGATGTTGCTAAATCACTAAGTTGCCCATTCTGGGCTTGAACTTGCAATCTTTCTACCTCAGCCTGCCTAAGTGCCGATGTCACCATGTCTGGCTCTCACATCCCACAATTGGAAGAATTTTCCACATACTGGGCTCTGGCTCTGGAGAGCTTAATTTTGTTTCTTCTGTATACTTCTCAGGCTGGGGCTGTAGGATTCAAATGGCAGTGCTGTCTTTCATCACATACCATTCTTTGACAATAGTGGGTGGTCAGCAGAACAGATGTTGGGAGTGTTCCTATACAGCCTTCTTACACCAGGGCAGCCGTTAACAATCATATAGACAAATTACTGCCTTTATTAATTACTATTGTTGTCTATCAAAATTTCCTCAAATATAGTAGCTTATATGAGGCCCTGTGTTTAATCCCCAACACTGAAAAGAAATTTAGCAGCTTAAAATAACACACACATTTATTGTTTTCTAGTTTCTGTGGGTCAGGAACTCAGGTATGGCTTGGCTGGGTCTGCTGCTCCATGGCTTCCTATGTGGATACAATCAAGTTCTTGGCCCATGTTCTGGAACAGCCCAGCCCCAGTGTTTAAGGATTGGCTCCAAGGTGCTGTGAGACCAAAGAAAGAGAGGCAAATGGATCTAGGACCATGCAGAGTGAAATTTTCTGGGGGGACTAACTGACAGAAGCATGGTCCTGATTCTGGGTGGCAGCAAGACCAAATGAATCCCTGCAGTATGGGTCAGAAGGAGAGGTGCATATTTTGGTTCGGACAAAAGTGACTTTATCCAAGATGGAATGTACCTGTGTTTTTTTTTTTTTGGGAGGCAGTACCAGGGATCAAACTCAGGACCTTGTGCTTTCGAGGCAGGGGCAGTGCCACTGTGCTAAATCCCCGGCCTGTGTACCTGGTTTATGTTAAGCTAATAGCAAAGAGTCAGGCACATTCCTAGTGCCAGGGTCCAGTTGTAAAAACCCCACATACCACTCTAATTGTTTTGTCTATTTGTAGTTGGCTGGGCAACTGTGCAGAAAAAAACCAGGCAATCATGGTGGTCACAAGTGAGACAGTTTTCCATGCTGTGGCAAAATATCTGCGGAAATAAACTTATAAGAAAGAAAGATTTATTTTGGCTCAGTTTCACAGGTTGCTTGGGCCTGTTGCCTTGGGGCTGTGGTGAGGCAGTAAGTCATGGCAGAGAGTACATATTGGAGGAAACCCACTCACCTCATGGCAGATGAGAGGCAAAATAGAAAGAGGAAGTGGCCAGGGTCTCCATATCCTTTCTTTTTTTTTTTTCTTTTGTACCGGGG